CCAACACAAAGACAGGGGGGTTTCTCTCTGTCCCTATCTTGCTTCAAATGGGCCAGTCATAACTAACAGGGTGGACAATCACAAAAGAATGCTTTTGTCACAGCTCATTTAAATAGCTTGTGAATTGGTTTAAGACTGAATGACTTGTGATAAACTTGTGATGGACTCGAATACAATACTGCTGTGTAGAAACCTATCTACATAAAAAATGATATTTTAAAATGTAGTTTTGTACATGTGTGAGTCCTATCTTTGAGAGTAAGTACTTTAATAATCACTTCCATAACACTAAACACCTGCAGCTGTACATTTACTCTGTGTTGATCAGACTTGTATAGTACAAATGGCCTTTTGACAATTAGGGAATGTGCCACTTAAATAATTTTTTGTCTCGAAATGTACGCAATTAATTACACACTGGCTATATTATATTTATCTGTACATGTAAAAGTCTTAGCTTCCTCTGACACAATACTGCAGCACCATTCTGCACACATGCCCAATCACATTCCTCATGCTACCACGTCAGTAACAAAATTGACGTCAGCAACTTTTTGCCGAGATTCACAGTTCATCTGACGGCACATTCTTTGTACATGTACTGGGATAAAACTGTAGCATCAAATCTATCTATTAATTAGGCACTGTACAGCATACTACAGGAACATTTAACTGCAAAGTAATTTAATATGCATTGTGGTACTTTAAATGTACGTTTGTACATGTATGTATTTCATTGCCGAGTGATTGATAAATCCTGCAACAGTTTGAATATGACAAAAATGTATCTTAAAATAAATATAAGTATCTTTTTCTCTGCCTCTGATATAACAATTTATTTAACTTGGATTTCAGTCTTAAGATGGCAGAGCTACATGTATAATATTTTGATACATGAAGCGTAAATTTGTGTATCAAAATATAAATAATATTTCTGTGTACTTGATCTATATGTACATGTACAAATGTACCTGTATATACAACTAATCCTACACACACATGTATGCAAGTATTCATACTGCTAAATACACAATGCAAATAAATACTGTAAATGAAGAAAATCTTGATTTGAAACCTTGAATGTTCAGCAGAAAATAGGTATTTTGAGTTGAGACAGCATTTGAAGTACATTTCATACTGGTACTCACGTGAGTTTCTTCTGATGGCCTACATGTATGAAAGCGCAGGTGAATTACTAAGTACAGGAACAATTAATGCAGATGGACATGTCTGCTGTTTGTGTATGAATGCATCAGGAACAGGTAGGTACATGTATCACATACATGTACACATGTTCATTTAAAAAAAATCTACAGTTATCTTTTGAGTAAACTTTTTTGTCTAGTTTGATGATGTCACAGAAGTTTCGTTGTGTTTTCGGGAAATGCCATTATTGCAATTAATTGTTTGTGAGAGGTCGGCCCACTGCAGTACAAGTACCAGTACATGTATATTACATGTACATGTAAATCACGAAGTCAAATTAAGAGGAAATTGATCATTTCTAAATTGTCTCTTCATTAATTTCCAGAATGATGATGTCATTTTGAAACCTGACAAATAATATGTCTAACAAGTGGTTTTTGTCCACTTTCAAAAAAAGATAAATCTCAAATGTAATATACATGTATTAGATGTCAGGGTACCTTCTCATTTTGTGATGCCAGCAATCTTTAGAGGGAATGTTCTGTGTTTGAGTAACAATCCCATATCGTTGCATGTTCATTTACCCCGGAAATCAAGGTCTGGTGACTTTCCCTCAGTCAGTAATGTTGACCAAGATACATGTATGATCTGCCAGCTCTCAACTTATAAAGGTGCAACCTCATTCACTTCCAGAGTTATAGTCAAAGCATTACTTTTGACTTTAAACCCCTTCATGCCCTTGTAATATCTGATGTGATACATGTAGTGACCACACCAAACACACATCTCGATGTCAAAGTTCACATTTGTACAAGATTTCACACTAATGTCCTAATTTTGTTAATTTTTTTTTCACTCAACATGTACATGCACCTTAACTTTGTCACTTTACTAACACTGGACGCAAAGGTCAGATGGCTTATACACCTAGAAGAAATAGTTGAACAACTCAAGACCTGTCGCACCCCAAAGTCACTTGATAATGTCTCTCTGGCATTCCACTGTATGCACATTTAGGGAGCAGGGTTGATGTTCATGTCAAGTTTCAAGTTTATACGATATACATGCACTATCTCAGAGAAAAGCTAAGAATTATCCTCCAGAAAAACAGCTAGGAGAAAGACTGAGCACGATCAACCCAACAGTGGAGTTATTAATGAACTGGGTCTCATAAAGATGCACAATGTAATCTTCCTCAGTCACTGGATAGTGGGTGTCCTTCACCACCTCAGAAAGAATGAAAGCACTAGGCAGAAATTGTTGGAAAGTGCTCCTTCATAAGTGTTGACATGAAAGAACATTCATAACAACAAATCTACATTTCTAGAATTTACTGCAACATCACGGTACTGCCCATGAAAAAAAAGGCTTTACTGTTTATAGCATTTTTTTAAAGCAAAAAATCAAGATCAAACCAAAAAGTATAACAATTGGTGCATGTTCATGAGCAATTGGAATACTGGCAAATACTGCACAGACACTGGCTGAGACACATGCACTGCCACGTGTTTTGCAAAAGTGCATCCCACACCAAGACAAAGCCAAACAAGACATTGACAAGTCTGTGTCATCAGGGAAGTACATGATATGTACCAGCAAACTTTTCAATGCCGGAAACTATGTACATGTACTACCGCACATGACATCTTTTATATGCATTTTGGCAGTTATGGATAGAGACATGCATCCTTGCACTTTCTGAGTGTGACCATCAAACTGCTACAGAAAGGGAATACTCATTTGCCATTACGTACAAAATGATGGTTACAAGATTTGCATGATGTGGTACCTTACAGATTTGAATAAAGGGGGGTCTTATTGATAAAATTACAAAGCCTATAAAAGAGGGAGAACATGAAACAATTTTACCATGTTAAGTGCTCCGTGTCTAAAGGATTATGCATCTTTGTCACTGAGAAAAATGCACTTACTGGTAATTGTACCATGGAGTTACATGTATAAAATGTTACATATCTCCATGACTGTACTGGTACAATGTGCGTGTGCCATAGCTACTGATACGCAATGTGCGTCTATGTAGGCGTATACAGGTGTTCTTTGCAAAGCATGCTATTGTATCATCTGGTAAATGTAATTTGCATAGCAGTGTGGCAAAACTTGGCTGTATCATTTCAGACTTACTTGGAATCTTTAGGCACTTGGATAGCATGGCCACACCTATGGCAGGTCTTCGTTGGCGGTTTGGTCAATTTGGACACAGAAACCGTAACTTTACAGTGCTTGCAGGTGTACTTCTTAAGCTCTAACACATTATATGCTTCAATGCCATTCTCAATATTAAAACCAATGTAGAACTCGACTTCGGCGTTGAGGTAGTTCCGGCCAAACAGTTCATACTGTTTTGGCACAAACACGGCCTGAAGTGAGCCGCTGTGATGACCTACTTTCAGGCCGCCAGTTGTGATACCAATGTGTCCATGGAGAGGCATCTTACAATTACGTATTATCCCTGTGCAGACTTCCAGTTTCTCATGTGCCTTTTCGTCTTTCCAGAAACGTTTCTCTGAATCCCAATCACCCAAAAAACTTCTGTGCACCAGGCGTCGGATACTATGATCCTCTTTATTGGCTCCTAGCCATTCCCATGCATATTTTCTGTGGAGGCGACCAAGTTTGGAGTGCATCTTCTTCAGTTTCTCTCGGAGACGGTTGGACTCGACCACGTACTTTGTTTGCTGGGTTACCAAAGCAAGTGTAGTGTTTAGGGTGTACATGTAATACAACACCATAGCTGAGGAGTGAGACACATCCCAACACTTTTCAACTTGGGGAAGTACCTTCCCTGCAATGGAGTAGATGTCAGACTGCTGAGAGAAGCGAATGGCAAGCATCCAATCTTTCAAATCGTTACTTAAGTCAGTGTTTATGCTTCGCATATAAGCATCATGGAAAATGCCCTCATACAGCTGGATGACTTTTGGCATATCTTCAGCTGTGATACATTTCAGAACTTGAGATGGCGTTGTGTGTGCGGATGCCTTGAGATGATGCCTCTGGTGTTTCAATTTGTAGACTGCAATTTTGCTTCTGTTACTGTCCACGCCTTCCTTACCTTGCCAAAACTTCAGTGCAGTGTCCGGGTCATGAAAAATGGCATGGAACAGGTTAAGACAACTGTCAAGCTCTTCAATTTCAGCCTGCCCCGTTGGTGGCATCAGGTCCTCGTACTCTCTGAGAAGACTTTCAACACAAGTGAAGCAGCTTTCAACAAAATCTGTAAGCCCACTCTCATTTTGTTCTCTAGACAAGAATCCATAATAACCACCTTTTTTGTAGCATTTCTCCACAAAGTCTGCAACGTGCAAGCGCATCTTTATCTCACCAATGTAACCGTAACTTGCATCCATTCCTTGGCTGCGAAAGTGCCTACAGTTGGTGAAGTGGTTAACTGCTGTACGAGCATGTTTGATTACCTGACCCAAAATGTCGCCTGTTTCATCCAGGGTACACCTGTACTTGTTACCATGTTTACCACCAATGAGTTTTTGTACTCTCTCATGGGAAAGATAGCCTAAAGTGTGGTGTATTGTACAAAGGATACTGTCGCTGTCGCGGGTATCCTCTTTTCCTTTGTCACCAGACAACCTGCTAGTGTCATATTTGTCCTGGTTGGCCCTTCTTTCTCTTTTACGAAGATCTTTAGCCTTTACCAAATGCTTTTCAGCAAGGTCAAAGTTTTGTGTGATAATATGTGCTCTTCCCAAGTGCATGATGCATGTTGGATCCTCAGGGAAGCATGACACCAGGTGTTCCATCACGTCTAGCTGGTGTGTTGAAGTTTTTGAGCAAGGTAAGTCACACAGTAGTCTGGAAAGGCGGTCACGTTTATGGTACTCGTCCTGCCCAGTGTCTTTGTAATCCCGATGGATGAAAATACCGCGCACAATGCGCATGAAGGCAGAACTGGAGTCAAACTTTAACTTCTGCTGCTTCTTGCTAGCATATGTCAAGAATTCTTTTGCAAACTCTTTCAGGTTCCTGCGAGCGTCTATGCTAAGCCCGAGATCTTTGTTATCCTTCCGCCGACCACAAAGTATCTGCTCCAGGATTTCTTGGGCAACAGCATGGTGTGTTATCCTCCAGGTGCAGTTTCTGACGTCCTCCAGAACAAACTGCTTTCCACTGTGTGTCATGACATCATCAGCCTTCAGGACCTCTGACTCCTCCTTATCAAAAAGGATAGAGAAGAACTGGCAAGGAATACTTATGTGGCCATAGTAGAAAGCCAGAGCCAAGTAGCCGACTGCTCGCTGCCAGCTGGCTAAGCCTCCACTGTTCAGGTTCAGGTACCCTGAAACATAAGATCTTAATCCAATGTATTTCTTGTCATAAACTGTCAATCCAAATTCGTACACATAGTGTGAGGCATTCTCTGCTACAACCTCTTCGACCATTTGATCCAACATTTGCCGTCTTTCCCCACTGCATTTTTGTGAAAACACCTGACTAAAACGAATGGCCTCTTTCTTGTCGACCTCACCTCTGAGCCAAAATCTATCTCCTTTGCTAACTTTGTTCCCAATCTGCACTCTGTACCTCTGTACATTCAGCATGATGAGATGGATATTCTGGCTCATCTCAAACAGCTCCTTCACAAGTCTCAATTCCTGTCCATCGACAAGAAGAAGAATGGGCAGGTGGGTACTTTCATACAGCTTTTCTAGCCTGTAATAAATTGCACAAGGGTCAATGACATCTGAAATGGTGCATGCACACGGGAACTGTTCATGGAGATCCCAGAGCGTTCGACGGGCCAATGTCGTCCCACCGGCTCCCGGCTCATGGAAGAGGGTGACAATGCCTGAAAGGCCATTGTGAAGCCTCTTCTGAAGGGAGGCAGTAAGTTTTGATGCAATGAATCGCTCTGCATCGTAGACTCCTAACTCTATTTCGGGCCAGGTGAGATTGCCACCTTTCAAAAATACCTCTCCCTGGTTGGGCCTCTCATCTGTTTGAAAATCACCTTTGAAGAGTACATCAAGTTCTTGCTGAAGCCATTCTGAATCACGGCTTTTGAGAATGGTATCTCCTGGAAGCTCATGCCTCTTAGCTGATGGTTTTTGACAACAAAGAAGCTTGCTCATTTCAAAACATAGCCGTTCAAGGGGTATCTCAATTACCTTTGGTATTTCCAGTTGCCTGCACAATTCTCTTACCACACCTTGACTGTCTTCATCACCTGGTGTCTGGTGCATGCAAATGATATATTTTATACCACTTGGACACTCATCAATCTTTCCTAAGGCTTTGTGCAGGTGCCTCAAGCAGTCCATGCTTCCGTACCAAAGAACCACCACCGTCAGTGGCTTAGTCTCACAAATCCTGTTGATCTGATCACAGTGTGCATTAAGAGACGCTCCTACCATTTTACCCCACTCCTTGACTGTGCCTAGAACTAGACTCTCTTCTATGTTCCTCAAGCCTCTAACAAACAGCCACTCTCTACAGGAGTTTGAGAATGATATTTGAACAGGATCTTTCCATGTCCTTATACTTACCTGATCCTGAATCTCTGCCTCACATTTTGACAGTAAGCCACTCTCTCTACTGTCAGGATCAAAATCCCAGATTTTAACCCAAGGGAAGTTGCCCAAGGCAGACAAATCAGAATACTCACTCGGGCAACGACTTACTAGTAAACAGTAGCTCCGTCTTTGATGGTTGTCAACATCCATTAGATCCATGAAAGTTTTCCAGTTGGAATCTGCGCCATCTTTTTGCATGCTTGAAACTTTCGTCTTATTAAACCAGCTGTATATGTGTCCCTGCTCTTTTCGAGTTGCGCTGGTGAACTTATTGCCGTCTCGGTACAAGATATCACTCTGGGACCATTCTCCATTTGTGTCCTCAGCATAACATGCATTTCCATAACCCTTGCCATTGACAATACGCACAGTGCCAAGCATTTTATTTGAATACTGAACCTCTGAGTATGAAAATGGTGGCTTGTATGAGAAACTTTGCTCCATAAACATTTCTTGGTAGTCTTCATTCAGTTTACCAGTCTGTTTTAGGCCTTGACAATCATGAGGAGGAGAGGTTGCAGGTTTTACACCAACAACAATGTAAGCATCATCATTGCCTTTTCGTGGAGTATTCCACAAAGCTACAACATCCCTTGTAAACACAACCCTTCCATATTCTCCTTGATACTCCTCCTCTGTTCTAACAATAAGATGCCTCCCCTCGCACTTTTCAAGTAGACTCCTAAGCTCATCTTCACTCACGCTTGGGCAATATTTTCTCTCTAGTGTTTGTTCCCCTGTTTTTGAGAGCTGCTTTACTTTCAAGGCCCGTGGGCTTTTCTTTGGCATTTGCCAATGGCTATGTATTTCTTCTTTCGGAAACTGTGCAGGGGGGGACGGACAGGCTGATGACATTTCAGATGCTGTCTCATACTCAAAATTGCCCATTTCACTTTCAGTGTCACTGTCAGAATCACTCGATTCTGAACTAGACATTGTTTTACCAACCCTTGTCTGATTGTGAAGTACGCTCTTTTCCCCCTCATGCTGGATTAGTTTCAGACATCGACTCTTCCCTTTAACAAAGGACTCCATCCTTCCTACACTAAGGTCTTTGAAGGATAAACTTTTACCATATTTCTCATGGAAGCGCTCCTTGACTTCGTTTAGCCCCATTAAGTAGCTGTTGTCAGAGTGATTGGGATTGATGATAGAGACCAGCATGGCATCAGTAATTACAATAGGATCTTGTGTTTCATCTTCTGTACAGGTAGAAACCAGAAAAATAAAGTTTACATAAAACAAACTTATATTTTAATACACTGTTTGAGTAAACTAATGGGGTAATCAGACTATGAATTACAATCGAGATAAAGTTGATCTGTTTATTATATTTTAAGATTTAAAGGTAAACCAAATAAAACTAACATGATCATGCAGAAGTATTAATTGTGGCCTTGCCACTGGGATACCATTGAAACAAGACAATGTTTGGTCTGAACAAGATGCATGACAAGTAATGCGTGCACTCCTGCATGTATTGTTCTGTGGCTGCAAAAGGCCATATAGGCAGAGAGGTCTTACCATCCAATCTGCCCTGTAGTGGAACTATTTTTGTGTCTGTTCCTCTGTGGACAAACAGCTGTTGTCCATCCCAACAGAGTTGCACCGGCGATCTCTGCTTCCTTTCTTTAGGTCGTGCACCTGGTCATTAATTAAATAGGTACACATCAGCTCTTAGTTTTAAAGTGAAAGTCTCTTAAACCACAAACTAACTCACATCTTACTTAAATTTGTCAAGTTATGCATACTAAAATATACAGAAGGCACAGACTAAACAAATCTACATCAATTGCCTCAGTCCAATCCAACAAATTGCATACTTCAACCGTAGTAAATTGTTGGTCCTAAATTATCATCAAATTTGATTTGAACTTGCCATCACATGAAAAAAGGATAGGGTTGTGCAGAATATTCAAATAATTGAATATTCAATCAATTATCAAATATTCCAATATCATTTTCCAAAATTGAATATTCAAATGCAAAATTCATGAAAAAGAAGGGAGCATTTACATTGTTTTAAATGACAAAAACTGCACTATGGAGGCTTGTTTTAAGAAGATTTAAATTAAAAGCAACAAAAATCTTTCAACAATACATTATAATTATTCATAAAACAATTTCATAGGAAAAGAAATTTCAACTGGGCAAGAAGTATTATTCATCTCTTAGATCTGCTAAATCGTGGCTGGAGATAATCCTAGATGTTAGAAGCTATTATATTGATTATAATGTACATTTGTGGGCGTTATTGCAACTGATATTTATATGGTTTGTTTATCAACAATCTGCCAGTCAGTACGACTGAATGTTCGGATATTTGACAAAACTGAAGGTCAATTGTTCGAATAGTGAATTATTAGAATTAACTCAGCTCTAAAAATGGGCTCTGGTTTTATAACTAAACATTTGATCATGACAAACTGATTGATGAACTAACACAAAAATAGCTACATGTATAGATACATGTAGAAAATTTATTATTGAGTTTATCTTGGATTCTAAATAATCAATTCATCTTGATCATTTGATCTCAGTTCAAATTAAAACTGCATGTACTGTCCCACAACTAATTGCTGGACCTGCATGTACAGATAATATGCCTTTTATTAGTGTCATTTTTCGGTACACACTCACAAAGTCATCCAGATAACAAAACATAAAGAACACAATATTGAACAACCTCCTGCTGGATTGTCTCAAAGAAAGAGTTTGTGTTGAAGGTTCTCCAACTAAATAAATAGGAAACAAGAAACAATTAAAATTATAATCGCAAACACATAGGGAAATAAAAACAGTATTTCAGTATTACACGTGTATATAATTACCTCCAGCAACCCAAGGCTCGGGATTTAATGGAAAAGACTAATTTGGCCTTCAAAATCTTTACCAGTCTGTTTTTGCTCCGATTTCTGTGCAGTACCAGAGGCTGACACCACGAGAGATCCATCTTCCCCGTATGGCCATGGGCACGCGTTCTTCTCAAATGTCTGCTTCAGCTTCTCCGAAGTTGCAGCACTTCCCATTTCGCTTATCCACTTCCTCAAGGCCTGATATTTCATCTCGGCCACATCACCTTGGTGGTTCTTCTCGATATCGCCAATCATGACATCAACTGACTCTTCACCACAAGAGGTAGCCATCAGATCCCGGAAGACGGGCTTCCATTTTTTAGCATGAATGTGTTTGACAACATCCTGCAGGGTGCTTGGACTCTTCCACTCCTTGTTTCCATCTGGACCTGCTGAGAAAGACACACATCCAATGGATCCATGCATATGTGCACTTATTAGAAGTCTCTTGTCTTTGATTTTACATCTCCTAACACTCTGGGAATAACCAACAACCTCAACAAATCTGCATCATTTGGTTGCAGAATTGCAAATTAAATGTACATGACATGACATGACACATTTGTGGGTGAGTTCACCACGAAAATCGAGGAAATGTATGCAGAACGCTGCAAGACCTCATTTGGCTTCTAATTTTGCCTCCAATAATTATGTGGAGAGATAATGAACGACTGTCTTAGATCACCTCAAGAAATTATTCTTACAATACCGTTGCGCCCATGAACATTCATTACTGTACAATGGCCGAGAAGATATTCACTTGATGAGTATTTATAGTATACATGTACGTCATGAAAGCAAAGGTGTAATTATGCATACCAAATCAGGTTGCCCATCGGAAAAACCAATCTCCACAGGTTCTCTATGACAATAAAAGCACAGGCCAATGCACGTTTGTGCATTCTGCACTTGTGCTCTAGGGATTGTGATGCTGATGAAGTATTTGTGTTCTAGAACTTTGCACAAAGAAGGTTGTCCGTTTATCATTAGCACAGGATTCTGTGGCCAGTCCTGGATTCTGCCCCTTCCCTTCTAATCCACAAATGTTTAGGCCAGTTAACCAGGAGCCTCAGGGGTAGACTTGTTTGAGGAATTGGTTTGGGTGCAGCCTTTCCTCCTTTTACTCCCCTTATATCTCTGAAAAGTAATTCAAAAAGTAATGCGCCCATGCCATGGCTACACACGGTATGTACACCACCACCTCCACACAGCGTTGCTGTTGCTACATGAACTCACATTGATTCAACCCCACTAAAAAATTGGAAAGATAACAGTTTTTATTATTACTACTATAACATTTTGTCGGCATCAAATTGTTCTACCGGGAAAATACCACTACATGTAGTTTTAAAAGCTTGTACAAATAAACAAGGACAACAACCAGAGGCATGTACTTGAAACTGGAAAAGTTTACCCAAAACTGTCACCCAAAAGGCCTTGTATTCCAATGCTTCTGGCTGTACGCACAGTTAAAAAAAAGGTAAATATTGGTATTCCCCCAAAATGTTGAAGGCAACTTTCAGATACCAATTGCTGGCTGAGAGCCGTTTCTCTGTGGTCTTGGTGCTGAAACCATGCTGTGAAGATTGTCTGCAGGTGTCACAGATGGACTTAGTTGTGGACTTCCTAAGAAATAAAAAAATGTCTTGTTTGATCATTTGTGCTTGGACCTGCACTAATGGGGCAGACCTTGCACACATATATACAAATAAGCTTGGATGTGCTTCATTTTAGGCATGCCCGGTTGGAATACTAAACTTTCTCAATGGAGGTTTTATAGAATTTTGAAACTGTATCACCACACTTATTTGGTTGGGGGGCGCCGTTATTCTTGAGCAGATGAAAAAAATCGGAGAACTGATTTTGGGAAAAAAATGAGAGTTTGCCCACCTGGACCCAAAGCTGGGATATATGCCACTAATCCTGTCTCATTTAAGCCGGAATCCACAGTCAATTGTATAAACCATTCGCAAGTTAAATGTTAACAACGTCAGGTACACCAAGTTATCTGATTACACATAAACATGGCAATTTGAAATCCCCAGACTAAAGACACTGTTGCTATACCTCGTGATTCCGGGCAAGCTTTTGTATACGAACCACCATCTCTGGAATGGACTGGTTCCTTTGTGCCCTTCTTATCCATTGGAAACAGTGTACATGTATTGGTGGAAGGTGTCTCTTACATGTACATTTAGATAGCTAGGCAAAAGCTTGCCCCGGATCACAAAGTATAGCAAAGCAACAGTGCATTTAGTAGGGAGAATTCCAATTGCTGTGTTCACATGAATTTTAAAAAAAATTGGTGTACCAGATATTTTTCAAATTTAACTCACAAGAGGTTTACTGTGGCCATTCACACATGTACAGTGGTTTGAGGGGATTCAGTGTCCAGTTCACTTTCAAATAGTTGGCTAATTTGGTTTGCGTGTATCTGCCAAAACGAGTTTGTGTATTACAAGATACATGTAATTTGGTCTTGTTAGATTGATTAGAGCAAACTTTAAAATCAGAAAGACTTGTACTAACCTTTAGGAGAAATTTTTTTCCTTGTTGCGACTGTCTGCCAGCCAGCATCTTGCCCCTTTTTTGTCGGTTTGTGCTTGTTTTGATTAGCATGCGGTTCCATCATTTTGTGTGAGGCAAATGCCTAGAGCCCTGATGAATCTTTAACTTTGTGGTGCCTGAAGAATTCACAGTGAAGATAAAACAATAATTGGATGAGACTGCAAAAAGGATGTACATGTATAAAGAGGGTGAAATGGCATGACAGGGTCTCTGGATGTTTTGTTCATCACCATAAGTCAATGTGACGGTTCCTGGTTCTACATGTACCTTATGCACGGCTAAGGTTTATGTAGTTTGTCTACATTAGGCCTATGTCTACACGTATGTTTAGTGCTTTTCTTGGTCTTGGATCCCTTTTTGTGGTTGGGCTGTTGCAACTTCAACGGTAGATTGATGCCCAGCACGGGTGATTTACACATGTATTTCCCTGTAATCCTCATATGGCTACATACAGTGTCCAATGTAATTCCCATCTACACAAAGGTAGTGACTTTTACTTTAAGAGATCAGATTAATACAGTCAAAGTTTGTTCATTTTTAAGCATCCCTGATTATTCAGGTGGCTTCATATTATGACTTTGGCATTTTTCGGGCCATAACCCTAACCACAAATCCTATTTCAATACACCCAAGGGGGTTAGGGTTAAGAAGGCATTGCAGTACAACATAACATTAATGGACTTACAAGCTTAAAGTTACTGTGTTCATAACAAATACAGAGAAAAAGTTAATAAGTGCCATCAAGAAATGTATGTGGCAACCCCTTCCATTTTCACTCCAGTAATTGCCAGCGCGGGGCGCAGGTCCATATCAATCAGTGGGAAAAGTGCACTGATCTTAGACATTCATCAGTCCCCATAACTGTTTAAGTTTGACTCTTACATTATGAAGATGAAAACATCTGATATGGAAATGATGAGCCCGGTTGACTGGAGATAAGCAGTGCCGTACTGCGTTGCAGTCGTCGATGTCAAACAGTCCAGAACACGCAAAAGGTGCGATGGCGAATTTGTCACTTGTGTTTGCCGACACGCCTCCGGCTCCACGGTCTAACAGACTTGTCCAAGTGGTTATTCTCAGCAATATTTAGTGGCACTTGCTGAAGTGGCCAGATTGACATGCCCCTCGAGTCCTTCTCACGTTCCTGATGTTATGAACTTTGGATAATTATGAAAAAAGGAATAAAACTTTAATATTGGACAGCACTTCACTCACAAAACGCACCTAATGCAATGTGAAACTTGCGCTTCCGTTGGTTTTCCCCTCCACTGGTTCCCATGCGATAAGCCACAAAGCATACAAGTGCGTTGAGTGGGCTACCAGTTGGATTTATTTATAGTATTGGGGGAAAACCCACACACTCTAATGGGGGATTTCGTGGTTCTATCTTGTACGTTTCATGCATTCGGGTTTTTTTTTGGGTTGTTGTTGATGTTGTTTTTTGAAAGCGAAAATCCTTTTAAAAATTCGTTTTCCATTTTTGATTTGAAAACAAAAGTAAAAAATCTTTCATTTTTCAAAGATAAAAAGAATATATTAAGGAAATGAAGCCATTTCTTTTTTTTCATTTTAAAAATGAAACGCAAAAAAAAAACCCCAACGAAAGTAGGCCTAATCTTTTTTCACCTTGTATTTAATCCTAATTTCATGTGTCTGCACACGTCTATTTGAGGAGGCGTCCGACAGATTTCTCTGAGCACGTCTCTGGATGAAAGTTGCCTTTCCGAATGTGAAAATTTCCTTATGAGATGCTCTTTCTTTTACTTTAGCAGCATCGATTTCCTTGCATTCCTCTAGTTCGGAGATGTTTGATTTGGTGGATGGCAAAGACGCTTCTTACATCACAAAATGAAAATTGAGCTGGTTTATTCAAACTGTGTATCAATACTCAGTAGATGACGATGTTAATTATTTTCACATTGAGTAACAAAGAAAAGAACCTGATCGTTTTTTAAATAAAGATGATTTTTAAATAAAGGGCGAGAAACGACTTGTTTATCTTTTTTCGCATTTTATGCTTTCAAATCAAAACGGCAAATGATTTGCTTTTCTTTTTTAATTTTCATATTGAAAAACGAATGAACGAAACATACATGGACCTTTCATGCTTATTTTAGGCCCGCGGTGTTGTGTGGCAACCGAACAGTTTCATTATTATATCCGACTCGGTGATGAAAGCATTTTTCTCCTTGCCGCACACTGACTTTATTTTCATTTAACATACTGGTGAAGTCCAGAAATAAAGTTTTATAAAGGTTTTAATCATGGCTCCTGGGATTTTTTATAGGGAAATAAAGACCATGAGCTAGGGTTGTTGAAACGCTTGGTCTATGTGGTCAGACATAATCAACAGCTAGGGCAAGCTTTTAGGGGAGTATCCAGGAGGGTTGGGCGTGAACTAAAGCAGCAATGCCCGGGAGTGCGTAGCGCATATCCCTTGTTTTGGATTCTAGGCTCTCTGTGGTGCGATTTCAAGCTGTGTGACCCTTCGTTTTTTCTTGTACCTCTTTCTCTGTTTCTATTTTGTTTGTGTGAAATGGGGCATGCCTCCACACGTGCCCCCTCCCCTTTAGGATCCGCGCCTGGCTTTCACTGGGCACGAATACTAGTCTCTATTCAAGACTGGCAACGAAACCCACTTTCCCATACGACAGTACCTGTGGCATTTCCCAGACAACTGTGAAATAAAAGCACTGTGCTCTTTGGGCAAATCATTTGTAAGAGTATAATCCATTGTAGCAAATCAATATATGATGCGACTGAGACATTAATATTTTACCACTGCATTAAGAAATAAAATCCTGTTCAATTTCTGCAATATTCTATTTTCCGTTTATTACGTCACAGAGAACACTTTGATAATCTGAACTTACCAAAGTCCTTAGAATACGTGTAAAGTGGCCAAATTTAGAAAGATCACAGGAAACAGTGATGATCAATCTTGGAAGTTGCAATTCCTTGAAGCATTCACTTTAAACTTAAATACATGTAATATGACCGATCGCACTGATGGTTTTTTTTAGGAAATTTGCTCCAGCTGTTGTGAAGTTAGAAAAAAATCCGGGAACTCTGATACGTCACCGCTGGTGTGCATCTAGAATGCGCCAGATGATAGACTGCAAAATTGTGGTGTTAAAAATTACCTGCTGGTTTTATCAAATGTCCACAGCAAAATGTGTTACTTTATCATTGCTGGTATTCTACTTAAGAGGTGCACTGGAAAGTGTTAAAAGTTACAACAGCGTTGTTAATATCACATAATTTTCAAGACACGGTGAAAAGTGTTGACGTCAGGGTGTTAATGCAACACCCCGTTTTTTTCAATAATTATTCAGAAACAACTCAACACCCGTGTCAAGGCAGGATTGTGAGAGGCTTCAATGTAAATCAAACCGAAGAGGCACTTAGAGTATTAAATGCGATTTCGAAATTTAAAAATGGGTTGCATAGGTTATTCCGTCCCCTTTGCTCAACCACTACCATTTTCTTTTTAAATGAATGTAATTTCTGCAATGTTTATTCTTTGTCTTGTTCAAGTTCGGTTGTTTTTGGTGCGGTCCTTGTTTTCTTTTCCTTTTTCTTGGGGTGTTTTTGGGGGGGACGAGGGAGAGGAGTTTTTCTGCTTTGATGAACCCACTTTCAACAAATGGGTCATTGGTGTTTTATCGTGGCCTTGGGGTGTCCCCGTTTTATTAATAAATTTCTGGATGGAAGGATGTTAATTTTCAAGCAAGGAAAGAAGTTTTTGTTGGTCCGTTCCAAACAGAAACGTGAATATGAATTTTGGGTTATGTAAACATACGAAAACCTAAAATGTTTTAATTTTATACATGGAAATTGCAATAAGCCTTTTGCAAGTTAGATTTGAATAAAATCTGGTACGCTGAGTTCTTTAAATTCACAACTCCGCAGAGTCCGCACTAAAGACACTGTTGCTATACCTTGTGATTTAGGGCAAGCTTTTCCTTAGTTACATGAGAGACGCCTTGCCTCAATACACCGTTTTCAGTGGATAAGAAGGGCACAAAGCTATTCCCAAATCACAAGGTAGAGCAACAGTGCCGGGGATCAAATGTTATGTTAAAGTCAGTTAGCCCCACAAATAGGCTGTAGTGGCGCTCTTTTACAATCTGTCGCTCTTTATCTGTCGCTATCAGGTAAAAGAGAGCCACAACAGCCCTATTCGTGGGTCTCATGTGCAGTCAGATAACTCAGTGTGCCAGATTTTATTCACATGGATTAAGAAAGGTTGTGGATGATTGAAATATTGCTGGACGAGTCAGTAAGGTTATTGACGGTCGAGGGGTTGAGTGGGACGAAGAATGACATGCAGTATGCGGTCCCATAAGGCAGATCTCTATAATTATGCATGTAGATACTCGTTTGGTACGGCAACTTGAGGCATTGTTTGAATGAGTGTTGGGGGACGGAAATAGAGTCACGGGTCTTGGCGCAGCAGTATACCTTATGGGGATTATTGTGGATTAATGGCCTGAGCAGCTGTTTATTGAACTTGACACAGTTCAGGTTCCCGCCCGACGCTGGTGACGCAGAACTGCAACAAATTTACATTGCGCACAATCAAAGTATAGCTGTACTCAGCAATATATTGAGATAGTTTGGAAAAACCCTTAAAAATCAACAACCAGCCGATGTTCTCACTGAACCCCGGCAAACCGTGTTTATCTTCCTCTGCGTGTAAAAGTTTCTCTCAGCATAGAGCAAGTGTATTACCGTGAAAGTGAAAATACATGCATAACACGCACAGAAACAATATGACGTAATTGGCCACGTGGGCGTCCACTGCCCAATCGTTAGACTCCTTTGCGGTACGTACGATGGGAAAGATGTTTCACAATTTTAGGGGATCATTTGGTCTTCAAGTTGTTTCACTGCAATTTCTGCGTCTATGATCATCGACACTTTGTATTGTTCAACTGCACAGAGAGGAACGAAGCTGACACTTTTCAGTGAATTATCTGTTGGAGTGAAATCTTCAGTTGTAGTTATATACCGAGAGGGAGCTCGATTAATGATCTCAACAACTTGGACCACAAAGTTGAAAAGCAAGGTAATTTAGCCTCCATAATTATTTTAGTAGACTACCGGTACCTTTGCAATAGTTTACCGTGTGGCATTTCATGTGTATATCTTTTCACAAAGTCCACGAGCTATCAGTCATCACCTATAGGAAAGAAAAATCTTGGAAAATGGACACAATTTCTTCAAATAATGGACGTCCTGTAAAAATCATGGTGAAATACGAATTACCGTAATTAAAAAGAGGTTCATTAATAAAATAGGCAAAGAATGTCTGTAGAGCGGGTTTCAGTAAACTTGGGACGGGAAAAAAGTCTGGTAGGTTACGTGTGTGAGGGTGTTTTTATGCGTTTATGAGTGCCAACATTTCACAAGATGTGATCATAACGTAATGCAGAAGGCAGGCAAGTTGCTGCATGGGTAGCCTTGTTTTTCTTTTGTGGTTAAAGAAAAAGAAGACCCAATGAACTGGAAGTTTGGGTTAACCTGCGAGGAAACCAGTTCTTTCTCGAAATATTTATCCAACAAAAAGAGATACAGGCACAAAGTGTTTATAGAAATACTCTCCACTGGCTCAGTCAGTGGAAAGAAAGTCTTGTTTCAACACTAGATATTTTTCTAGCGGTTGCATTGTGCTATAGAGCCAAATGTATGTAGACTTTTCTGTTAAACTGCAGCCATCGAGTCACGCATGAGCGTAAACATCAAAATCATTCGGTCAATTCCATCGGAAATATTGCAAAATTGTTAAACGTAAGACTTAAGCCTATTGAAATAAGCGCAAAAGGAATTTTTTTGAATTCTACTATTTGAAAAATGCATATCGTCACCCTAAATCTTCACAGTACAAAAAGGCGTACAATTTGATTGAAAACCTCGCACGTGGTCAGTAATGTTCATGTATGCGTGAATAGGGCATAACTGGCATTACAGGTATAGGCCTATCAAACCCAGTCTCAAGAGGCAATACAAAATTTCTTGACGTTGTCTTCGATCTCTGCCAAGTGGGCTTGATGTCAGTTTTATCAATCATGAAGGAGAGTAATGAATGACCTGCAGGTGAGAATTGGCGGTGATAATGCGTGTCATTGGCCGTTCTTCAGTGTCATTTCCTCGTAGTCGCCAGGATTCACAACCAACCAAGTTGTTTAGCTTTACAGAGTGGAAAGGTTTTGCTTTCTCTCTCTTTATGGCCGTGTGATGCTCGTAATCTTTCAGTTTAGACCTAAGAGTTTCAGACGAGAGGTAGTTAAAATCTCCTCTGGATTTTAATGTATTATTTCTGTTGACATTTATCAATTTTTATCGAGGGACATGGAGGGCAGCCTGTTTCCTCACACGACTTCTGCAAGTCTGATTTTCACACTCGTTGTCATGCAAGGATTGCCGAGTCTTTGTCAAAATGGATGTAAGTTGGCATCGATTATTCTCCCTGATCATTCTCGAATTGACGCCGCAATTATTATTTTACTCCCTAAATAAACCATTCATTCGTGCATAGAGTCCAGGCCACTGCGTCGTACCTAGTCTCGTTTCGAGCTGAAAGGGGTGTGGAAAGTGAGGTACATTATATAAACCCTGTAGCATATCCCTATAGTTTTGGTTGGCAGGAGGCAAAACGAAATCTTTCTCCAGAAACCACAATTCGTTTTTTTTTACATTCTCAGATGTTTGTTGGTAACAAATTTCACCTTTAAGGTTGTAGGCCTAAAGTAATGTTAATTCATTCCCCCGTTCCTTTTGCGTAAGCATTCATTCGACGTGCAAACCACAAAATTATTAGTAGTTAAAATTTCACATCGACGCTGGTGACGCACGCGCGGCGCGGAGTTTCGGGAAGAAAAGTGTCCAGTGGCGTGCTGGGTTTGTTTGTGGGACTAGCCAAAAAGGAAAGTGAGTAACGACAGGAACTGACGATATTGAAACTCAAACTGAATATGTTTTGCCTGGATTATGTTCGGTATAGTTTATTCTCTGCATCGTGGATCATTCTCTCTGCAAATCTATTATCGTTTTGCACGTAGCCCCTTAATTCATTGTGACTCTTATATATAAAAGCCCATCAGTCATGGTGCCCCAAAATAGATTTTCAGAGTGTAAAGTATACTTTTTTCCGATTCGTTTTTTACAAGATATGCTTGTCGAAGTTCTTTTTAACAAGATGGGTGATACTGTGATTCGACATTAGTGAAGCTTTGATTTCCTGAAGGAAAAGATTTTGCTAAAAATGTACGATTTCTTCTTCGAGCATGCAGCGTATCAGACGCGACTGCGGAGCTTTATCTTGTAAAAAGAACTTGAAAAGCTATAGTCAGCACTTAACTTAGCATTTCACTTCTTGAAAAAGTACTACATAGTACCCAAAACTAATTTTC